ATGGACAACCTCCAAAGTCCCTTCTAGGTCTGCATCTACTGTCCCAAGTTACAGGACCAAGGTCTCTTTCCATAGAAAATCAGCACATGAAGTGACTTTGGAGACTGTCTTACCCACTTTTAGGGATGTGGCAACTGAGGCCAGAGGAAGAATCTTTCAAGGTCAAACCCTAGCCCTCTGACTAGGACCACACCGAAGATGTTCCTGAAAAGTTACACAGAAAATTTTATGTAGAAAAAGCGCTGGGGATGCAGAGATAATTTTATCATTTGTAACATATAGGCTCGAGGGGTTCTCTATTTAAATGAACGTAAGCGTGCTGGACTTGGGAATTGGGAAGGTCTGGGTTCAAATCTTGCCTCTGACATTTAGTAGTAGTGTGACCCGGGACGAGTCATTTCTCTGGGTCTCAGTTTCCTCACCTGTAAAATGAAGGAGTTGGACCCAATGGCCTCTAAGAATTCCTCCACCTCTAAATCTATAATTCCCAAGGGACTCTGCTCTTTTTTTTTTTTTTTTTGTTAATCAAAGCTAAGGATTCTTTGGTATAAAAAAGCCCACCCCACCCCAGATCCCCAGGTTCCCTCTCCACTCCCTCCCCCTGCCCTATTTTCCTGCATTTTTAAGAATTCCGTTTTCTTAAAGCTGAGACATACCTGCCTCTCCTAACTGGTTCTCTGGACCTCTTGTAGGAAAAAAAATCCAAATAAGGCAAGCAAAACCATCTAGACTGGGTCTAAAAAATGTATTAGGCAAAAATGAGTCATTTGCATCTCCTGTCTGCTTAGCTTCGAGGTAAAAGTGAAGTGGGTTCCCAGTGGGACCCAAGTGTCTGCACTAATCAAGTCTGGTGATGGTTCAGGGGGTTTCAGGAGAAGCCAATGGGGGACAGCAAAGAGTTCATTCCTCCGTGACTCTATGGCTACCTCTGGATAAGTCAGCTGCGTGAAAAAATGACTTGATACCGAAAAATGAAGACTCTGCCCTTTTAGACAAATGTATTTAAAGGGAGAAGGAAGCACAGAAATAGAGGGTGGCAGAGATGTTAGAGATCGTCTGGTCTGTCTTGCCCAACTATCAAGCACTTATTAAGCACCTACTGTGTGCCAGGCACTTTGATTGGTCCTGGGTATGAGGAATGAAACAATCCTTAGTCCCAGGGAGCTGGTATTCTGTAGATAAAGGCACTTTACACAGGAGCAGACCCCAGAGAGGGAGCCAGTGACTCGCTCCAGGGAGGCCAGGCCTCTGGGGCTGTCTCAGCCCCTCATGCACTGCCTGCCAGTCCAGGGATCTTTCTTCTATGCCTTGCTGAGCCTTGTCAAGCTGTAGGACAAATAGGAAACCGCAGCCTCCTGGGAGGAAGGCTGATTCATTCTCAGGAAACCAGACCACCTCGAGTTGTCTTTGCTGCAGGAAGGACAGATTTAAAATACCCCATCTTCACACCTCCTTCCCAACATGCCACCAACCAGGTGTGCAGAGCCTAGGACACTACCCCCGCAATTAAGGGTCTTAAAAATAAAAATGCAGACAGCATGCGTGTTCCCCAGCCACCGACAGCAGAAATGGGTGTGAGAGAACAGAGGAAACAGGGAGGTGCCTCGGGCATGGGACCTGAGTCCCACCTTCTATACCTAACAGCCCTGACACCAGCCAGAATGGGAGAAAGACCCTGGACTTGAAGGTCCAGAGACAGGGCTCCCACCCCAGATCAACTACATACTAGCCGTGGGACCTTGGAGGTTATCTCCCTTCCTATGAGCTTTAGCTTCTCATCTGGGAAATGGGCTTAAAAAATTGCCACAAAGGATTGTTGCAGGAGGGAGACCCCTTAGTCAATCTGAAAGTACCCTAAGTATCTGAGTTATTACTGTCTGTACTTTTCTTTGTAATCTGATACATTTTTGTGTGATGCGTTTCATAATGTGATTTTGAGAAGGTTAATAAATTGAGAATAAATAATAAATTGAGAAGCTTAATAAATGCTTGTTGGGTTAGATTGGCTGGTACCTATTTTGTTTTCAGGGGAAGCAATCATAGTGCGCTAGCTGGAGCATAGGACTTAAAGTCAGGAAAAACCTGGGTTCAATCAGTCAGTCAACAAGCTTTCATTAAGTGCCTACTATGTACCAGGCACTTGTGCTAAGTGTTAGGTTCAAGTCCCACTTACAAGTTGTGTGACCTTGGGTAAGTGTCTTGACCTCTCTGGGCCTTGGTTTCCTCATCCAGAAAATAGAGATATAAACCCTTGTACTACCTACCAAACAAGGCAGTGACAGGGAGAGCCCTCTTTATAAATTGTAACCTGGTGTATAAACGTGAGCTATAATGATTATTATTGACCTGTGAGGGTGGCGGAGAGGATTAAATGAAATCATGTAAGGAAAGCAAGCATAACTAGAAAGAGCAATAGAAATGTGACTTATGATGACTATTATTGGGTTTTGTTTTCCAGGACAATGCCAGTGATGGTGATTAGGATGTGTGAGCGTGGCTGAGACTAAGCAATCAATGCTTGGCCCACGGACCTTTGAAACACTCTTGGGAATCCTCCTTCAGTTAACTCAAGGCAGTGTAGGGTGGCATAATGGAAGCCTTAGAAGACCCTGGTTCAAATCCTGACCTACTGAGAAACTCTGGGGGGAAAGCTTCCATTTCCTTGTGTGTAAAACACAGAGAAAATAAGACCCACCTGGAAAGGCTGGTTGGAGGAAAATAATTTCTAATCTTGAATCATGCTATGGATGGGAGTTATTATTATCATCATTAGTGTCTGTGGCCACTTTGTAGGAATCTTGGTGATATCAGAGCCTTCACCTAATTAGTAGGGAGTGAGGGTAGGGGGAAAGAGAATACATGTGTTTATATGCTATTCACTCCCTCTCTCCCTTCCTTGCCTCAGTAGTTAACACTTATATAGAGATTTAAGGTTCACAAAGCAGTTTACAAATACTATCTTGTTTGATCCTCACAACAACTCTGGGAGATAGGTGCTATTATTATTATTCCCATTTTACAGATGAGGAAACTGAGGCAGACAGCAGTTCAGTGACTTGCCCAGGATCACACAGTTAATAAATGTCTGAGGCTACATTTGAACTCAGGTCTTCCTGACTCCAGATCCAATGCTGTATCCACTGCACTATTTTGACACCTGGGTGGAGATAAAAATAATAAAAACACATAAATAATAAAATGACTTCCAGGCTTATCACCCAACCTGTCTCCCTAATCACTCGTGGAGGCAGCCAGCTCCTTCTAAACAGAAAGAGGAGGCAACACTCTCTACCCACACCCCCTTCATTGACGGTGCTCTCTCTCCTCTCAAATCATACTGCATGTATTTATTTATCCACCCAAATACTGTGGAGCCTCAGTAAGAGATAAGCTCCTCCTGGGCAGGGGCTACTTTTTTCACCTTGTCTTTGTATGCCTACCATAGAATCAATCAATGCATTTATTAAGGACCTACTATGTGCCAGGCACTGTGCGAAGCAGAGGAAATAGAAAGACAGTCCCTGCCCTCGATGAGCTTACATTGAGTGGAAAAAGTTTAATAAAGACTTGTTGGATCAGAGTGAATTGAATTGAGTCGATTTATATCGAACCCAATCATTTGGTAGAATGGAGCTGAATTCTTGGTTCTTACCTGAACCCCCCCACCCAAATCCAGGTTCCTTTCTCTCTATAATTCTGAGACACCAGCTCCCCAGCACAGCCAGCTGGCACCAACACCTGCCAGGGCCCTACTAAATGTCTGGGTCAGAAAAGGGGTGGGTTACTCATAATCCCCACAGCCTGTGCTGCTCCGTGATCTGCCCCAGAATGTCAAACCTCCAGCCCCCAACATCTGGCAGAAAAAAGCCCAGAAGCTTAACATGTCCCCCTCGCCAGACTCTGGGTCATGAGGACAAAAGCATTCTTGGAGGCAGCTGGTTCCTTGTAAATAGAGAAAGCTTCTCCCGGTGGGCACCAACTGGATGAGACTGGATTCCTGACTAGCCTGAGACATTAGGCTGATTCATGTCGTGTGTATGTGTGTGTGTGTGTGTGTGTGTGTGTATGTGTGTGTATGTGTGTAATCTCTAATTTAATCTCAATATATGTATACAATGCAATATGTATATACACAAACACGTGTATTTTGTACATGCTATATATGTAGCTATATGTACACACATATATGTTTACATACACACGTGTAGATCTGTTTGTGTTTATATTTATATATATACATGATGTCTTCAACGGCCATTAAATTCAACAATATGCACACATGTACATGCACACATATGTACACATATATTTGTGTGCACATACATATATGCTGTATACACACAAACACACAGGTGTTTATGTATATGTGCACACATAACTATAGACTCACATATATGTATAGATCTATGCATACACATAAAACACAATGTCTGTATATTTGTGTGTGCGTGCATATATTATATTTTATATGTACATACTTATATCTTCAACAATCATTAAATTCAGGAAAATACACATACACATGTGAATGGATATATTTGCATTGTATACACATGTGCATATATATTTGTGTGCAGTGCAGATATACACACTTGTATGGGTACACAATATTTATGTGCATATGCACATGTGTATACATGTATATATCTGTGTGTGTATATATATATATATATTTTTTTTTTTTGATGAATTGAATGGTCATTGAAGACATCAGTTTCAAAGGCACAGCAGAAGGGAATTAAAAAAACTCCTGTCTATAGTTTAGGGACAACAATGAATGATTATGTATTGGAAGTAGTAAATGGAAACCGGGGAGAAGATAAGTGACTTTATCTCTAGGCATAATAGAGGCCCTGCTCTGGTTCTGACAGGCAGGCTTAATTAGATCTTAATGCAACGTTCAGATGGTTGTCATTAGCAATAGCCTGTACTTGGCTCAAGGACAATGAAAGGCTCCCCAGTGTTCCAGCCCCCAATGGATGCCCCAAAACAATACTCACTCTGGGGTCCCCACACTTGAATTTTAGCCTCTCCACCATCTCCAGCATGGCCACCTTCAGATCCACTGGTTCTCTGTTCTAGAAGAGAAAAGAAGGTGGGAGGGGTCACTGGGCAGCCCCCCTTGGCTGCTCTGTTGAGCGAGGGCCAACGAGGAAAGAGAAGAATGTTTCTCATCTTCTTAGATAGCCATGAGCCCCACGTGGCCAGGCTGGCAGTTCCACCCTTCTCCCTCCTCTCCCCCAGAATAGACATTGCCCAGTGACTTGGGATATCTGCTGGAATAAAAGCAGATGTGCTAGGACAGGCGGGCTCGTGGGCTGCCAGCATCTCTGGGCTGAAGAGTGGAGGCCCAAGCAAGAGGCCTGAGGCAGGAATGGGGGGGCAGGAGGGCCGCTGCTCTGACTTGCTCATCTCGAGCATGCTGCACCACTCTCACGCCAAGACTTTATCTCTGAGGAGATATGAATTCAGGGTGCGATGGTTTGGGGTGGTGGGGACCGGGAGGTAGGTCAGAGAGGATCCTCAAAGGGTCAGAGATTTAGAGTGAAGGGGACACTCCCTCTCAGGTCATCTAGTCATCCCTCCCCTCTCTCACTTTTGTAGAGATGAGGAAACTGAGGCCCAGGGAAGTGAAGGCCAGTCACAAAGGTAGTAAGCATCAGAGACAGATTTGAACCTAGCTCCTTTGACCACAGAACCCCTTGGTTTACCCCATACAGATGTGCAAACTGAGGTCATACAGCTCATTCGGTGGCAAAGCCATGGCTACCATGTGTCTCCTGACTAGTGCTTTCTGGGGTGTTTGTGAGTCATTCCTTCCCTGTCTCCAGCCCGGGGAGGAGCCCTCCAGGCTCAGGCTGGCCCCAGATGCCAGGCCCTTCTAGCGTGCTCATTTCTTCTTTCCACCCCACCCCCACTCTCCTGTGCTATCACCCCAAATCATGCTATGAGAAACCCCACCACGGTCCACTCTGTCTGAGAAAGATGGTTGTGCTCTGGTTTCTGACCCCAGAGCTCTGCTGAAACTTCTCTCTCTCAAGGCCACACGTGTCTATTAAACTGCAAAATCCAAACAATGACCTTTTCTCAACCTTCGTCTTCCTTGACTTTTATGAAATATCTGGAACTCCATTCTTCTGGCCCCTTTCTCCCTGCCTATCTGCCGGTTCCTTCTCAGCCTCCTTTGCTGGTTCACCATTGTCCCATAAGGGTAGGTGTCCCCGAAGCCTCTACCTTCCTTGTCTCCTCTTCCCTTCCAAATGTTCCCCTTTGATGATTCCCTTCCCTCCTGAGGCTTTGGTGATCACCTCTATAGACACCTACTAGGTGTGTGACTCTGGGTAAGTCACCTAACTGCTCTGTACCTCAGTTTCCCCATCTGTAAAACGGGGAAAATAATAGCACCTCCTTCACAAGGTCATTATTTAGACCAAATGAGATCCTATATGTGTGACACAGCATGGTAGGTATCATACAGTATTTTGCAAACCTTAAAGCTCTCTATAAATGCTAGTTATTGTCGTCATCATCATTATTATTATTACAAATCACTCAAATTTATATTTCTAGTCTTAATCTCTTCCCCAAGCTCCAGTCACTGATCTCCAGCTTCTGCTATATCACTACACCTGGATATCCCACCGGGGTTTAAAAATTACTTGTGCAAAATAAAAATAATAATGTCTTTCATCTATCCCACCAAAATCTAAAAATTACTTATGTAAAATTTAAAGAAATGATGATTCCCACTTATAAAGCTCTGCAAGGCTGGGGAACCACTCTACACACATTATTCCTAGCTAGTATATCCAGACATATTCAGCTCTCCTTAGAGACAGTGTAGCTTAATGGATAAAGAGCTAGTCCCAGATCTAGGAAGACCTGGGTTCAATTCCCCACCCTGACACATACTGGCTTGTGACCCTGGACAAGTCACATAACTTGCCAGTGCTTTCCAAAACTCTCTAAGACAACCTAGCATTACCTCGATTGCTGAATTGGAAACCTGGACAACCTCTCTGTGTCCAAACATAGCAGGTGCGTTATGCCACAGGCCAAATGATGTTCCGCCAAACAAAGCCCGCTGTGGCATAATTAGGACTAATAACTGGAAAAACCATCTCAACCCCAGAGTCAGAAAAGAGGCCCACTGGGACCCTGGATCACGATTTTTGTCCTTTCTACATAACAAAAAGCATTTACAAGAAGACAGCGGTTTGCCAGCTTAACGAAGAACCTCAATGTCTTTATCCTCTTCCTTCCTTCCTTCCTTCCTTCCTTCCTTCCTTCCTTCCTTCCTTCCTTCCTTCCTTCCTTCCTTCCTTCCTTCCTTCCTTCCTTCCTTCCTTCCTTCCTTCCTTCCTCCCTCTCCTCCCTTTCTCTTTTCTTCCTTACTTTTTACCTTCCTTCCTTCTTTCTTTCTTTCTTTCTTTCTTTCTTTCTTTCTTTCTTTCTTTCTTTCTTTCTTTCTTTCTTTCTTTCCTTTCTTACTTTTTACCTTCCTTCCTTCCTCTCTCCCTTCTTCCCTCCCTCCCTTTCTCCTTTCTTCCTTATTTTTTCCTTCCTTCCTTCTTTCTTTTTTCTTTCTTTCCTTCCTTCTTTCCTTTCTTCTTTCTTTCCTTCCTTGCTTCCTTCCTTTCCTTCTTTTTTTTTTGGGGGGGGAGGGGAGGCCAAATAGCAAAATAAGATAGTCTCAGAGCCAGGATGGCCTAAGTTCAAGTCCTGTGTGACCCTGGACAAACCCCTTAACTCTTAATGCTGTGGGCAACTTTCTGCATTGCTAGAGAGATCTTCCCAATCAGTGAGATTTGTCACAGGAGGGATACATAAATTTAGAAATAAAAGTGATGCATAAAACAAAAGATTGATCTCTCCACATGTAGGTATGTGGGCCTTCAGTTTCTTTATATATAAAATTAATTTCTCACACTAAATGATATCTGAGCTCCACATGATCCTATTAACCTGGGAATACTATAGCAACATCACCTCTTCAGCATGCTGCCTTTTGATCCTGGCATATAGTAGGCAAAATAAATGCTCATGAATAGTGACTGGCGCATAGTAGGTACTTAATGAATGCTTATGGACAGTGGCTGGCACATAGTGGGCACTTAATAAATGCTTATTGGCAGAGGCTGGCACATAGTAGGCACTTAATAAATACATATTGACTTACTGACTGATTGCCCCAACTGTGGCTGCCTCAGCCTTAAAAATTACCTTTTCTATTCTTGTACATGTACATGACATGAATGTAAGCTCCTTGAGGGCAGGAACTGTTTGATTTCGTGACAGGATCACAGCACTGGAGCTAGAAAGACCCTCAAAAGCCATCTAGTCCGACCCCCTCATTTTACAGATGAGGCCCAGGGAGGTTAAGGAGCCTGACCAACGTCACACAAGTAATAAGCATCAGAGGCCAAGATTTGAACCAGGGTCTCCTGGATTCCATATGCCAGTGCTCTTTTCACTGCACTCCCATGCCTTCTGTCTTTGAACGCTTGGTGCCAGGCATACAGTAGGCACATAATAAATGCTAGTTGGCGAATAAGATGTAGTCTAAAAAATATGGGTACCAAGCATTTATTAAGCACTTACTGTGTGCCAGGTACAGTGCTAAGTGCTAGGGATACTTGTGCTTGCATTCTGTTAAATTCAATTTCATGCATATTTTATATAAATATATATTATAATAATTATCCATTATCTTATTCCAATTAGCTGGGAGACAGAAATTGGGTGGACTGTAGTGTCAGCTTTGGATAAGCCAGTTCACCTCTGCGGGGCTCAGGTGCCTCATTTGTAGAAGCCCCTCGCATGATCTAAGCCTGCAGGCAATGAGGAAAGGGTTAAGCCGCTAGACACAGGGTCCCTCCCGATTCCCAGAGAGGAGCAGACAATGAGCTTGGCTGATGATGTCACCCCTCCAGTCCTCCTTCCATTGGCTGAGCAACCAGGTCACTTGTCCCTAGAAAGCTCTCTCCACTCTCCCCACCCCCCAACATTCCAGCTGCTAGGGCATGGTTTCAACCCTACAGCAAAAGGCCACTCTATTATTATTATTATCATTATTGTTATTATTCCCACCCCCACCCACCCTCCTTGCTCTGGAGTGAAAATGTGCCAGGCTGTACACGGCCAGCCCCAGAAAGGAGAATGAAAATCAGAGGGAGTGTCAGTAAGAAGGTGGGGGTCCCTGGCAAATGCTGCTCCTACTGAGAGATAAGGGGACCCTTAACCTTTTCAGCTCCTCCCAGGAAACTGGCATGCATTAACACACACACACACACACACACACACACACACACACACACAGAATCAGCATCCATCACTCCCAGGGAAATATACTCCCAGGAAAAGTGGCACAGGGTTTGGAATCCTCAAAAAACAAGGAACTAGGGCTTCCATCCATCAATCATGGAATATTAGTAGCAAATTTAATTTGATTCCCTTTTGGTTTTATATCAATTACATCTTCTGATGTGTCTTTCCCCTCTGCTGCCTCCTGGAGAACTCTCCCTCATAATACAAATAATAATAAGAAGAAAGGGAGAGGAAAAAATCCTACAAAACTAACCAAGATTTCAAAAAAGTCCCAGATTATATGTCGTGTTCCACACTCCTGCTCCTCCACCATTACAAAGGAGGGGGTGGGAGTGGGGAGGTGTTTTCTCACATCTCTTCTTTGGAGTCGAGTTTGGTTGTTATAATTTTGTAGCATCATTTTGTCTATCTACTTAAAATACAATAAGCACTTATTAAACACCTACTGTGTGCAAGACATAAGGTGCTAGGGATACCGAGGCACAAATGAAACAGATTTTGCCCTTAAGGAGCTGGCATTAAGGATTGTAAAATTCACCGTGTACAGGCATGACCTCACTGGATGCTCACAACTCCAGGAGGTAGGTGCTATTATTATCTCTGTTTTACAAAGAAGAAAACTGAGGCAGAGACAAAGTGATTTGCCCATGGTCACACAGTGTCTGAGGTGGGATTTGAACTCAGGTCTTCTTTACTCCACATTTGACATATCTTCTGTCTTTTAATGAATCTTTTTAAAATTTCACAGATA